GATTAAAATTGGATCTATGTATACTACCTGGAAGTAACTAAATAAAAATGTTTGCAGTTTCTAAAGGTAAATCAAAATTTTACTTTGAATGTTTTAGAAAAAAAATTAAGTACTGATTTAGTATTCATGACATTTATGCAGACTCATGTTCTCATGAACATTTTAAAGTGTATAAGATTTAATAGATACTTATAAAACTTATATATCTTCCTAAATATCAAAACGATCCCATTGTTTGATTATATATAACAAAAATTAATAAGTCAAACCATTGATTTGAAATTTTGATGTTTTAGGAGAAAAAATACTTAACAATTTCTTTGAGTTGCTTTATACAAAAATTCCTTTTTTAAACTCGATACACGAAATGCTTTCAAAATTATATTTCGAAAATTTAAACTGATCACAGTATTTACACTACTACTTTGCACAATTTAAGCCTCTATGCATTTAGATAGTATAATCTATGTCAGTATGTATGCGCACACTCATATTTATCATACAGAAACAAGAATTTTATACCATCCATTCGGGCTATAATGAAGTTGCCGGAATCACTTCTTTTTAAAGCAGCTGTAAACGTATTTTACAGGAGATTACATACACGTTTTAAAATTTTTTTTTTTCATATATAGTAGAGGCTCACAAATAAGAACCACCACTTAATTTCTGCACTTTTTTTATTTCTATAAATATGATGATAAAAATTAAAACTTTACATAAACACTATTTTACAGTTAAAATCAATTCTTATTAGGCATTACTGTATAAAGTAATCAGACAACAAACAAATATAGTCAAATTTTTTACAATGATATCGTTACAGTTATTGTTACTTTGTATTGTTACTTGTTTTGAACACTGCACATCGTTATTAGGATATACTTCATCATAACTTACTTTGTCTTTGTCTCTAATATTGGTCCATTAAGTGTATACGTCATTTTAGGCTTATTTAAAAACCATTGAAACAGATATTTTTCAATCAGAGGATATTCGGCATCAAGCAAAGATTTTTTGCTTCCTTTTTCTTAACTTTCAGAAATTATAGCCTCCTTTTTGGAATTAATGTATGTAAGTGATAGCAGATTTTATCACATTATATTCTAAAGTTGAATAATTTGCTTTTACGCCCTTATCAGGTTTTTCTAATATCACTGCTTTAGTATGTAAAGATAATTTTTTTTTTTTTTATAATTTTTACTTTTAATCAAAGGTGTATACGCCGGTACACCTCAAGTTATTATAAAGTAATGCACATAATAATTAAAGTGTGAATTTTGACAATGCCATTTTTTCTAAACAAAATACGAACAAAAACACTTACAACAACTTACTAATTTATACAAAACAAGAAAAAAATTGAAAACAGAATTCGTTCAAAAATTAGAACCAAACTTTTTAATTTAAGAGCTTTTAGTGAATACAATATATTGAAATATTTTGGTTCTAATTTCTGGACAATTCGAAGATGTGAAACAAACGTCGAAAAGTCGACAATAGTTATATAGACTTCTGCCTTTTTATCAATTAAACTATTAAAAAAAGAACTAAAACTACTCCAAAAGTTTTTAACAATTTTACGCAATTTTGCATACATTAATGAAGCCATCATTTCAACACCAATGGACGGACAAGCCTTAAATCCTATTTACAAAATTCACCAATACCTAATTTGCTGTATTTGACCAAGGACCTCAATAATATTTTTGTTTTTAGTAGGGACCACAAAGTTTAAGTAGTGACAAATAATATACTGATTGCAAATGCAAAACAAAAAGTGACTTCAATGATTTCATAGCAGCCAGCTAAAAGCACATATGACCTTTGGATTGTAAAACAATTAAGGCATAGAAAAGCTACGTATAACACCATGATCTTAAGTGTTCGAAACATACAAAACAGCTGTTGTATGTTTCTGTTCGGATATAGTACAGCAATTGTTGCTAAATTTTCTACACATATTGTTGATTTGGGTGCTTGTGTGATTTATATGGAGATAATTTTGTTTTTGTATATATTCCTCGTAAAATATATGATTGATTTTGTGTGCATGCAATGCATAAGTTTTGCCAAATTATTATAAATTTGATTTTTGATAAATTTCTGGTCTCATACAAATATATGAGGTTTGCCTATTATGAGGTCAGTATAGGAGATATGGACCCATAAAGTTTTGAGAATTGCCATTATAGACAAATTTACAAATCGCCATATTTCAGGCTATATATGATAGAAACTTGAAATGTATTGCATTTAAAAGACAATTGATTGAACTTTCAGTAAATTGTTTAAACAATTGAGATTGTTTTTATTTCAGTTATTTGGATTGTTTTTTAATTATTTTATTTCTTTTTCGAAATTTTTAATTTTTTTTCTCTCCCGCAAAACACATCAAGTACATACCTACTATATTTCCATTGAAGGAATTTTCAAAGAATATTGTACAAATATTCTTATATATTTTTAATTTCTATTAGTATGCGGATTTCAATTTACTTAGAATAAGTCCGTTTTACATTAATTTTTACGGATAAGCAAGCACTATTTGTCCGTTTTAATCACATTTGTAAACGTTGAAATCCGCCTCAGTTACAAGTTTCTATCATTCATATAGCCTGAGATATGGTCATTTAAAAATGTGTCTACAATGGCAATTCTGAAAACCCCATGGGTCCATATTTCCTGGGAAAAAACATACCGGTTCTTTCGGGTCTTTTTATTTTATGAAAGGAGCTCGTAAAAAAATTTCAGCCAATTCGAAGGTGATGAGGTCGTTTTTTTGTCAGAACCTGTCCGGTATGTAAAAGAATGTCCCACATACAGAAAAACTTAAAAAAAATGATAATACTTTCAAATCTTCATAAAAACTTCGTTATACAGAGATATAAGAGAGTACACTATAAAGGAATCCAACTGTACTTCATATTTTATATTAACAGTCAAGTTTACGTCAATTAATTTAGGTAATTTAGAAGAAAATAGCTTATTTTTAAAAACCATATCCATTTCTCATTACCATATAATTTGTTTTTTAGTATCGATCTTATTTTTAATATTTATTTTGAAATCATAAAGCCATTGGGTTTTACTGTATAAGAAATCAAATTCTTTATAATTGTTTCATATTTTACATTTGAAAACAAAATTTTACAAATAAATTCCATGTGTTGAACTGCTTCTAATGTTCGGAGATTTCGATTTTTAGACAATTTTTCCGCTTTATTACATTGTACATAGCTTATTTATATTTGAGTACAACAAGTTTAAATTTTACTAGTACTTTTAAATATTTATTTTTATTTTTCTTTGTTATTATGAGCGTTGTTACTATTTGTTTTCAAAAAAAAAAAAAAAAAATAAAAAACAAAACAAAAATAAAGTAAAATCAATTTATCTAGTAGTCATCTAAGTCGAAACATTCATTATCGATGTCATCTAATTGCATACTCTGGAAGTCCACTTTATAACGTAATATTCCTATATTCAAAATAAAAATAATACTTATGTGTTAAAACGAAAACATGAAAATAAATTATATACATATATACACATTATTATAATATATTAAGAAAACTTTATATAATCAAGATGAGGGTAAATCAAAAAACTTAATTTTAATAAGCAAAAAAAAAATATATATGAAAATGTATAAACAAAATTTACTTATTAAATATATGGATAATATTTAAAATAGACTTCGCCTTATATTTGTGGTTTTTTTTTTTAAATTATATTAAGGAAATCCACACAGCATTGTTTATTAGTAAACAAAAATAAACAGTACAATATCGAAACATATTGTACATGCAAAAAATATTAAAATATATATATATAAACTGTATATTTTTAATTTAAATGTACGAAATAAAATCGTAGCCCACTTTTCTGTTACTACAATCGGGTAGTAACTTCCAGAAGTACAAAACGATTGGAAAACGTCTGCGAAACGTTTACATACAATTCGATAGTGAAACGATTTAGCTATGCGCTCAATGCGAATTTTTGTAGTCGTTTTAAGTAGGGGTATTAATTAGAATATTGCAGGCTTGTTTTAACTTTTATATTGCAGGCTTGTTTTAACTTTTATATTGCAAAGTCGAATAATTGTATTTTATTTAAATATAAGAATATGTCCTATTATAAAAACCAACTTTTTTTATAATTTAAACATACATAACTTGGGCTATCTAAATAATGAACATTGCTATATAAACCAAAGAATAATTAACACTCATACACAAGTATAAAAAGCCTATATACAAATCGTTTCCAAAGCATATTGTACATAAACATTTTGAAACGTTTCCATATCGTTCTGTACTCCTAAAAGTACAAAACGGTTGTATGCTATGAGCTCCTGACCTTAGCGTACAGTACAGTGTACTGTTTCTTCGGCTAAAATTTACAAAACGAATGTACATTACAATTATCCGATGGTGGTGTACATATATAGTGCAAATAGTATTTTATACTTTTGGGATTTGTGTACACGCGCATAAATTTTATAAAATATTTATTTAGCTGAGTAAAATTTTTTTTTGTTTGTGCTTCAAATGTACGGAACGAAACGAAACACAGCGTACTGTACAGTTTGTTCGTTCTGTTTCTAATAACATAAATCCCGAATAAAATTTTCAGAAAATGCATACGAATACATACAATTTTCTATGTCTTAAATTTATATATTTTTTAAATTGTTTGTTAAAATTTCGGTTCATAGCGTGCACGTACGCAATTTCTGTTTTATACAAATTAAATTATTTTTATTAAAAAACTCTTTTTATAATTGTTTTATTTTATTTTATTTAATATTAACGTTTTTTAAATTAAAGGATGATACGCTGAAAAAAGTGCAACCCTTGTTTTTTTGTTAATATATATATATATATTATAATTCGTTATCTTCATTGGAATATAAAGTATTTTGAAAATCTTAACGGAATTAATTTCGTATGTTTATTTCTTAATACGATATCTACTAGACGTTGCATAAAATATAATTTTTGTTTTGTAGATTTTATTTAAAATTTACGCGATTCTAAATAAAATTTCAGCGAAATGTAAGTTGAACCTATTTAGCATCATGACATTTAGATGCTATTCTGTATGTATTATATTATTTAAAAAATTATATTAAATGTTTAGTAGTCATCGAGATCAACATCCTCCAAAGGCTCATCAGCTTGAAGTGATTGAAAATCTACTTTATATCGTAAAATACCTATATATTCATTTCAAATTACGTAAATATGTATTTTATAATGAATTTTAATAGCAATACATTACAGTTTTAGCCACATACAAAGGCAGCAATAAAAAGAAAGGAAAAAGCATTTAGATTTATTTTAGTAATGTAAAACATGTATTTTATTTCTCTATTATAAACATTATCCTTACCTCCAATACCTCCAAATCCCCTAACAAATTGGCTGCCCTCCTGAGATTTATCTGTAATAATCTCAAGCGTAGCACCAAACATTTTGTAATTGTTTGCTAACCATTCCAATAAAGGCTGTGATTCGATTAACTCCATCTCAACCCCACTCTACAAATATTTTGGTTACTTATTTATATTTTTTTTATTTTTAAGGATTATAAGAGAACACATACTCACCTCTTTATCAGTAAAATGCGATTTATCTTTTTCTTGCTCTGGTGTCAAATGTAAAACAGTAGTCGAAGTTGAATTAGCATGATTTTTTAAAACATAACGTTGAATATCTAAATTTTCCCAACATATAAGAGTTTCAACGGAACCTAGCTCTAAAGCACGTAATGTATCTTCTACCCCAAAACAATATTTTCCTGTATCCTGGGTAAAGCATAATATCGGTTACAACTAGATATGTTGGTTTTACTTGATTTATATTCACCTGAGATATTTCATCAAAATAGCGACCAATAAGTTTTTTTTCTTGAATGAACTTGACATTTTGTAGCGATTCTGCAGCTAACTCTATTGCTTGGTTGAAACCATTTTCTCCACCATAAGAGACGTCCACTAATTTTATAATTTTCGATTGCAATCTCTAAAACAATATATTTGAAAATTTAACAAAAATATATTGGTTTGTGGAGATAAGTATATATGTACAGTTTCCGATTAAAACAAAGAATGTAATAAAACTAATAAATAAATTCATTTAATTCATTTGTACTAAAATTTAGTTTAGTAATTCTTTTCACAGCATAACAAAGGAAAAACAGGAATCAGAAGGATTTAACTACAAATTTTAATTTTAATTAATATTTAATGACATAGTTTAAATGCATTATAGCATTATCTTAAAAAACTTAATGAAAAACAAAAATTACACAGAAAATAATTAAAATCAATAATAAACAATAATAATAAGACAATTTAGCAATGAATTAAAATTTTTATTGAAACTTGTTTTAGCAAAACAAAAATAACATGTGGTATACAGCCAGTTATTTACCGGAAGTTTTCGGAGAATTGAAGAAAACCAACCGTCAAAGGAAGATTTTTCCAAATTTATCCCCATAATTTTTATTTTTTATATTTTATTTAGATTCATTTTTAATTTTACTGAGAAATAAAAATTTTTATGATGGCATTTTTTGAAATTTTTGTAATTTTTTTTCTCCCGCAAAATACATCAACCACCATTGAATGAATTTTCAAAGAATATACTACAAATATTCTTATATAATATTGTTCATTTCGATTAGCGCCATGTTACGTAAAGAGGAATATGTTACACAAATTTTTATTTTTAAGTTTTGATTCAGATTTACCAATAAATTCTACTTAAAAAAAAAATAAATATTTCCACTGTGGCGTCGCTTTTAGAAGTAATTAAAAAAAATTAATTTATCAGGTGTCCTACACGTCACTCATACCCACCACATAATACCATTAAATCAATTTTTCATGAAAAACTACATAAAAATAAATGTATATTAACTTCTTTTCAAACATTTTAAAGTAGTTCCGCATCATCTCTATTTTTAAATTATGAAGTTTAACATGACTAAACCGTTTTGTGAACTTTTTTCTTATAAAAATGAATTAAAAAAAATTAATTAGTTTCACACTAGCTGAACTACCTACATAACTGCAATACATAATTACACCTATCTTCATTGGTGAAGTGTTATTCTGTTACTGTTGGAGAAATACTATGCATAGGTAAGAAATGTTATAACATATAAGCTGTAAAAAAAAAAATTCTAGGTACCCATATCTTAAAAAGGTACTGGCATCAAAATTGGTATAAATTGTTAAGTAAGTTTGACAAGAACATTTATATAATAGCAAAAGTTTGAAAAAATAAAATGCATCAACGGCAATAAAATGACTTAAAATGTTTCAATCCGTTGATGTTGAAAATGCATCCAAAAAAGATCTAAGTAAGGCAAGTTTCAGATGATATCCTGCGTATGTTGCGGATGCCTAGAACAAAAAACAAGTCAGGAGAAAAAAATATGAAACAGTTGCTGAATCAAATTGGCAATGAAGGCCAAAAATATTAAGAAAAATGATGGACGTATATCGGCAAACAATAGCCAGTTATCAAGCGAGTAAAATATTCAATCATCAAGTAGTAGCAGTTATAGCTACATATTAGTAACTACATATGAAACTGAAGTCAGAAAAAGTGGTCTTATTCCATTTAATAAAGCACTCTCTCTAATAAGTAATATCGGAATCATACAAAAAGAAAAAATAAACAACAGCAATATAAATAAAAATGAAAAAATAAATGTTACCTTCTGCTCAAAAAGTATCCGGATTTTGTTGTTTGTTAACTAATCCTTAAGTAATAGATATTTTAAAATAATTTTTTTTTGTTATGTTGGTACATCCTTTCTTGACATATGGTACAAATTTAAGCGCCATCTGTCTATTAGTTTGTTTACAGCGAGCTGTTAATGTGGGACTACCTCAAGTGCATTTAGCGATTTTTACTATGGAAAATTCTTGTTGTTTTTTTGACCAATCACGGCATCACTGTCATCGCTCAGGCACCATATTCGCCAGATCTGGCACCGGGCGACTTTTTCCTGTTTCCGAAACTCAAATGAACCCTTCGTGGTAAGCGTTTTGAGTCGATTGAATCGGTAAAAGAGAATTCGCCGAAGAAACTAAAAGCCATACCTTCACGGGTATACGAAAAGTGTATGAAAGATTGGGTTAAACGTTGGCATATGTGTATCGCTTCAGAAGGAGCATATTTTGAAGGAGATAAAATAAATTTGGAATAAAATTTAAATTTGTGTTTTTTATTTACAGAATCCGGGTACTTTTTGAGCTGGAGGTATGTCCGTGAAACGATTATGGTAAACATAAAATTTTCAAAGTTCCTCCCGATGAATCCAACAAATGCGATGAAAAATATGATCTGCATCAATTTTAAAAAATCTATAGGAAAAATTTAATGGCACAGCAAATAGAACGATGAAAATAAAAATAATGAGTGTGACACATAGTTGGTCTAATCGAAAAATCACAACTCACTTCCCATACTTTTAGTACTTGGAAGTAGACACATAAAATCCAAGTATAAATGGTTTTCTTTCATACGCTGAATTTTAAATTTTTCAGCTTCAACATGCGGGAGAGTTTGAAGTGTTCAAGCATTTCATAGTTAATGAGCTTTAAAGAAATTTGTATTGCTTTTGTGCGCTCTGAACTACAGTTGTTGGTATTTTTATGTAGAAAGGTGCTTTTAACAACTGAGAAATCAAGAAGAGCAACTTATGAAAATATCAAAGCAATAAATGTCTGACAAAATACCAAAAAACTGATTTTTCGTTCACAATCCATTTTATTTCATTCATTGTAGAATTTTCTTCCCAGTCTATGTTTTGTATTTATTTCAGATCTCAGAAATAATTAAATAATTATGTAATATATGACCTTCAGTAAACCTCATAAATTTTAACAAAAAATTCAATAAGTAATAATATAAGGGCCTTTATTATATTATAAATATTGCTTACGATGACGACTATGACAATATAAGTGCAAACTACTTGCTCTTGTTGCGCTATGGACCACCCCGCTAATTCTTCTTTTATTGCGGTTTTGGATGGAGTTGAGGACAATGGATTTTTCAGATCTCCATCTATAGCAAAACATATTTGTGTTTTTATGGTCAAACTGGTCATTTATTTTCAATTTTTTTTATTCCAACAATGGATTATTAGGTGAATGCCTTTCAAACATTATATTTTAAAATTTTAAATATTTTAAATGAAATGGGTTTCAAATTCAAAATTCATGCACTAATATGTGATCAAGTGTCTTCAAACAGAAAATGTTATTTAATCTTTGGTGCTGGAATCCACAATCCATACTTTTTTCATCATAATTTAAAAGTTTATTGCTTCTTTGATTTCCCACACTTGATAAAATCCTTGCGAAATAGTTTTAGTAAGTGTGATTTTAATACTCCTGATGATCTTGTAAATTTTGATGTTGTGCGTGAATTGTGGGAACATGAAGAAAATTCAACTACCAAGAAGTGTCCAAAATTAACGAGACAACATATATTCCCTAACTTTCTTGAAAAAATGAGAGTAAAATTTCAACACAAGTTTTTAGCAGAACTGTTGTAGCTGTAATTAAAACCGTTGTAGATACATCTGGTTATAAAAAAAGGACTACAGAAGTTGATTAGCAACTGCACATTACATACAAAAAATTGATCTAATATTTGATTGTATAAATAGCTGTTCTTTATATGCTGACAATTCCTTTAGATCAGCAATGCAATAGGAAAATGAAAGTTTCAATTTTATTAAATACTTCCTAAATTATATTAAACAGGTGTCTTTATCAGATACATCAAAGAATGTGTTTTTTGTTTTGGAAGGAGTGCAACTCAGTTAACAAGCTTCCTTGTTATTAGCAGATGACATTTTAAATTTCTCAACTGAAATTTATTTTTAATGACAAAGCGTTTAAATCAAGATAGTCTAGAAAATACTTTCGCAGTTCTTCGTCAAAAAGGTGGCAATAACTCAAACCACACAACAAGTGAATTTAATAATATTTTAGCGAAAGTTATGACTTGTAAAATCATTCAATTATGTGACCAATTGTGAAATAAGTGAGGATAATGATAACAAATGCCTTGATGATGTACTCTCTTCTTCCTTAAAAAAAAAGAGATGAAATTTTGACTGCTCCAAGTGAGCTTTTTATCCACTATAAAAATTATAATTCTCTTTTAAATTTCGGTAACCTGTTTGCGCCATCACAAAGTTTTTTAAATCTTTCTTGTAAACATATCGAGATTTTGAACAAGTATTCAAAAATAAACCAGATGCAATTGGCATTAAGAGTTTAATAATAGAAATGTGCAAGAAAAAACCACTCAGTGGTTTTACTGGTCCTATATTGAACATCTAATCAAGCTTTATGATTTTTTAATTTTTCTTTTACTGTGTAAGTATTGCTTGTCGGCCTTACAGAAATAAAAAATCAACAAACATTTCTAAAATGAATGAAAAGTATGTTAGCTCTACAAGTTAGCACTTAATATAATATCAATTAAGACAACTATTATTAACAATAATGTAAAAGAACTTCGCTGGAATATAGTTATAATATATAGTGGATTTATATTTTTTGAATGTTCAGAATAAGAATATTTATTAAAATAATTGAAATTAGGGAATATTACATGAGTACATATTTTACATTCTAAGAATTAAATTCAATTGTAATATCGCAAATAGTAGAAAAATAATAAAAAACAAAACGTACAAGATTGTTTAATAAACGAAGTACATACAAATTAAAGAAAACGAACACAATATAAAATGCACATACATACATATGCTATTATAGCGAAAAGAGCATATTTATAGCCAAAAGAGCGGTTGAGTGTGATCATGTGTACATATCGATGAAAATTCAGTCTCTTTGCACACATTTAGTATAACAAAATCAAATATTGAGTAATTCCTGGGTTTTTCAAAAACCAGTAGGACAAAATTTTTGCGTATATTTTGTTCGACTTGCACTCTCTATGTTTATATACTCTTTGGTAGCATCAAAGAGTATGTTTGTATACTCTTATAGCAAAAGACTCATAAGTCATAGGATATACTTATCTTACCACTAACTAATATTAAATATATAATGTAGTGCATACACCTTCAGATTTCTTATTTAATGTAAATATATCATTTTGTTGTAAACATAAGCTTAGTAGAACAAAGGCTGGAAATAACGCCTGCAAAAACATTGCCTTTTATGGTAATGAATATAAACATAATCTCAATTAGAATCAACGCTTCTATTTTATTGTAAACATAAGCTCAGTAGAACAAAGGCTGGAAATGAAACCTGCAAATTGCAAGCCCAGATATATGTTGACAGCTTATTTGAAAAAATTCATCAGAAGGCGGTAATAAACTCCCGAAATCGGTTATATTGCAGTAGTTCTTATAGAACAGAAACAATTCTGATGATGCAGTCACAACCTCATCTTCTTTCCGTATTGACTTAAAACATGATTGACAATCGATTTTTGGTAAAACTTTAAATGCGATATATCCCAGAAAATAACGAAACGATGGAAGCTCAGTTTCTGTTATATCAAAATCTGTTGAGCTATAGCTCACTATACAATTTTCAATCAATGTTTCACTACAATCAAATTCCGAATCATCTTCTTCAGTTATACATGAAATAGTATTTGTATTTGAAGTGTTGTCCATTACTGCGTCGAAGGTGTGATCATCTTCTACTATCTCACAATTACCATCAGTAGAAGCAACAATAATTTTTCTGGTCATTACTTTAGCTAAAATTTGATTAACTTCGGACACCGAAGGATGTTTGTTGTATCCTCCCTTTTGTCGTAAAATTGAAAGTTTTTTCCAGTCTGTCTTGGCATAAATAATTTGTCATTACAAAATAGATTTCATTATCTTTTGCAAAAACTTCTTCTGTAAGCTGCAACACAGCATTTAAAGTTATATTAATATCTTTCCAGAAATACACCTTTTTTGTTGAGTCTACAAATTTTAATGATCCAAAGTATTTCAAAAACTCTTTTATGTAATTGAAATCAACTCTTTTATGTAATTACAAAAATAGTTTTGTAAAGCACAACAAAAAGGATTCTTTGAGTAAAGAGTGGTGGAATTCATACAATTAAATATTTTGTCCATTTTTTCTATAAAATTTGCTGTTGCTAAAGCGTCTTCTTTAGATGAATTGGTATAAATCCGTCCGTATAAATAAAAATAATTAAGAATTATTGATCAATTAGAGAAAAGACCTTTGACAATAAATAGACAAAGGCTTTTGGCAATAGTTTTACTTCTAAAAAAGCCATGTTCTTTGAAGTCATCTATTTGGTCTAAGTTAGCGTTGTAACGTAATTCTGACCTTAGTCTCATTTCATCAACAACCAATATTGCAAAGTTCTTATCAACTTGTCTTAGTATGCTGGCTTTCTTTCTCAAACTTTCGAAACCTGTATTTAAAAATCCTGGCTGCAAATTTTTTATAGGTGACCAGTTGTTGATTGTTTTTTCATGTGGCAAATTAATTTTCAATTTATTTCTTAAAAATATATATGCCGATCGAGATACGAGAAACATATTTTGAGCTACTAGTTTCGTATTCTCATCATATTCTTTCTGTCGCGCTTTTAGGATCATTTTACAAAAGTTTTTGGTCTCAATATTTACATTTGCAACAGAGTCGATGGCCTTAACTACAGCGTTTTTATTTGCAGTAATTTTTGTAGTTTTTAATAGTTGTAACTTTTTCTTTAATTTTATGTTTTCCTTAAGAAGATTGACATATTTCCTTCTGTATGTGTTTGCGCATTTAGTTTGCATTTCGCAATTGTGGCGGAATACCTCATCTTGCATACCACCTATATTGCCAAAGATCCTTGGTGGTTGCGCAAAATTGTCCGTCTCTTCATCTAGAGCTCCTACATTGTGTATTGGGTAAGCACCTTTTTTCAAGAAACGGTTGCCTATATCTGATGATATGCAAAATGTATATCACAAATTTTTAATTGTTTTTCATACATTTCCAAAGGAATGTCACATTTTTCACGCCAAATTTGTCTCAATACATTGTCACTTGGGGGAAATCGAAATAATTTTACATTTCGATTCTTTCGACGATTCCGCATGCAGGTTGGAATACAACAAACATAAACATAAATATTTTTTTTAGTATTTTAAATCAAAAATTCACAAAATATTTTTTGAAAAACTTTATATTTAATTAATGTGCAAATGTCCAAAAATTTCAATAACACAATGTTTCACAATTTGATCACTCAATATATGAGAATAATATATACATATATATAAATATATACATATATATATATATATATGGAAAAATAAGAAATATATGAGAATAAACCCAAAACTAATAGAATTCATTCAAAAAAAAAAAACATGAGTAGGTATTTCTAGGAAGTTCTGAAACAAAAACAATAACATATGGATATGCCTATGCTTATGACCATAAAGTAGGATATATTCCTCCATTTAAATTTGGTGCTGAAAAGTGGTATTTAGTTTATTATTTTATTTTAAAATAAAAAAAGTAGAGCACAAGGAAACAAAATCAAAACAAAAAACTTACAGCCACGTGCTCACTATATTATAGAGCGCTGTAGAGAAATGCATTTTGCTCTCTCTTTTTTTTTGTCACGTTGTTACCCGCGTCCCCACAGACGTACTTAACAAATTGAGTTTGTTTTCAGATTTCTACTCTATAATATTTATACTCAATGGTTTAATGTATGAATAAATGAAGTTAAGTGTACGAAAAAAAGAGTGAAAGTGAATATAAGTGAAGCCAATAACTCGAGTGTTGAGTTCTCATTGCAGATCTCTGTTGAGTACTCCACAATTAGTTTAAACATTTTCTTGTTTTTGAAATACTCATAGACATTAAGATCTTTTATATGTCGAATCGTAATATTGTTTTGATTTTTTATTGTTAACACAAATTCTTCATTATTTAGTTGTTCACTCTTACCTGAGAAAAGCATTTTAGAGTCTCAAAATTTTAATAATATATTAGTTACTTAACTCTTTTTAATGTCATTGGCAAGAATATCTTGTATTACCTTTTACATTTAGTTTAGAGAAAATAATTTTATTTTTAAAATCTGTTTTTAGTGTTATCACATATTTCTTTTTTTAATAGATTTAACTATGACTGACATACAGGATGTAATTACCATTTTGAGTTGCATGGTGAAATAGCTATATCAGCTTGAAAACTATATCTACTATATTGTCGAAATCATCTAATATCTGCCCTATTAGATGAGTCGGACCATTGTAGAGTCATTATTAGAATTTTGATCAAAAGGACAGATATTCCGTTAAATTAAAGTTTTTACAATTAAATAAAGCATTTGAAATAAAGTTTTTAATCTTTCAATTTAAAAATAAATTATAATAACATTAATACTTAATAAAATTATAGATCAAATTTTAAATCAATTATAGATCAAATTATAAATCAAACAATATCGAATTGAATTTCCATAGGAATCAGTTGTAAATGATACTTCAATAGGATAATTTCTAAATTTTTATCAAACTAAGAGATATTAAGTTCAATAAAGCGAAATATTACACAAAATACGATGAATGATTACAACGATATTTAAAGCGTTCTTCCAATAGTAATATTTATGATTTTTTAGAACTGTCAGTTAGTGTCTTAGGACGTTCAAACAAAATGTTAAACGAATGCACTCATTTGATCATTTGAAACGAAGAAAGCTGAATACTATTAATACGGAATTGGCAAAAATAACAAAAAAACATATACAAGCTGTTATTACAAGAGTGATAAAAATCATCAATAGCATTCGAACAACACAGAATGAAAAGAAATTTTCACCAAACAAAGCGTCAGCATTATTTTTGGATTTAAAACCAACAATATATAAAAACAATAAACAAAAGATCGGCAAACTAAATAATAACCATCATATATGCTGCAATTTTTATATACATATATTGCTTGGGAATTTAGCGGTCAACAATAAATTGCAAATACATAATAGGAACATAGTAATAAACAATAAACAAAGAATAATAAAAACTATTAAGTTTTAATATATAATTAAATTTAAAATTCGTGTCCCTATTATTACGCATACGTTAAGTTCAGGTTGCTTCACAAAGGTTCTTTATTTCATTGATATCCTAGCAAGTAATTTAATGCACGTTGGTATGCATAATTGTGATTCAACTATTTAAATGTGCACATATAGAGCGAATATACTGGTTTTTATGATATAAGTTGCAATTTGCAAAATTTTACATTTAACATACCAAAACCAATTAGAAGGATCAAGTTATTACAAAGTTAGCAATTGTAGCCATAATGATGGCTAAAACCAATTAATTTTGTTACCCAAGCAAATAATAATTCTATTTTTAACTATAATCTTGAAATTAAACAACTTGTTGTTTTATAATTAATAAGATAAAGGATAAAGTTGAATTTGATTATGGCAATTGTTTGTGTACTTACTGGATCAAACATATCGGACTGGCTCAATTCAGTTTTAAAATCTGCACTGCCAGCTAGTATCAAACCAGCGATATTCGGTTTATCATTTGTAATAAACAGTTGAGTCGCCACTTCTGCTACTTTACGTACATAGTTATGACGCTTTTCCATACGCAGTCGAGCGAAACGCAATGCAGATTGACCACCCCGACCATGCTTTTTAGGTAAATCAACGGTAAATTTGTGCAATACTTCTCGCGTATTACCTTGCAAAGTACCAAAAAGAGCACCATTTCCATCCATGACAATAAAACCAAATTTATTATCATCAGCTAGTAAGGCAGTGAGAGCCTCAGTATGAAATTTATTGTCGCACAAATATAGTGATGTGTTAATTGGTTTAAATGGCTCAAAATCGATATTAACTTTCTTTTCCTTTCCTTCTTCTGTGACAATAGTCCCACAATAGATGACTAAACCATTGGGAGGCACTTGATGTGAAAATATAACATAAAGCTGTAAAAAAAACATGAAAAATTTTGAATGCAATGCAATGATTTTACCTTTGGTGTATAATTTTAGCCTATGTTGTACAGATGTAATTGCACCTAAAACAGATAATCGATTTACGCGAGACTTAATATTTGATGCTGTTCCGAATTCGTCCGCCAACATTTTGCTAACACGAGATATTTGATCTTTTGGAGGAATTATTAAAGAAATCATACTTGTCCCATTACTAAATGAAGAAATATAAAAATATCTGCGATTAGGAAAGTTATAATATGCTTGAATTGAAAGAAATTTATTAAATTTGACTGACAACTGATAAAATATACTTACTTTAAAACCAAATTTTAGTTGTAATAATTAAGACAATATATTTTATTTAATTTTTTACTTGCGGTATAATTTCGACAAAAAATTTCTAACAGTAAGATTTTCTAATTTTTCGAAATTATCGAAAGGTACATCAGTTTAAATACAAAAAAAAAATAAGAACTGTTTAATGTATCGACAAAAAAAAACACCAAAACGTTCAGGCTATATTATACAAAAATGTATAAACTCTATAAGATATTTCAATTCATTCACTCCAAATATCTGGTAATATCTCCAAACATAAACCTGTTCGATACAGACACGAATTAAAACTCACAGATAATTTATGATTTCCAATGACGTGACATAAAGGAAATATTTGCTTAGAGTTCAACCTTTATTTTCTTGTTGCATTTCTTTTTTTTTTTTTTGTTTTCCATTAAATTCTAAATATAGAGAATTAATGTTTTTTTATAAAAACATAACTTTAAACCAACAACGGATACAATTGGATCCAAAAACGAGTCAAATGTTTTTGGATCTCCATGAAAATCAGAAAAAAAAGCAACCAACAACAAATCTAAAACATTGATCCATGTTATATTTTTTTTTGTATTTACACTTTTTTTTTTTTTTGTAATAATATTTACCATTCCACTTCACACAATTTCAACGCACATGAGTTTGAGAATGCATATAGAAATGTTTGAACTATAACATATGTGTAAGCGAACAATACTGTTTTATTTAAGGTATAAAGCAAAAGATTGATTACTGCAGGGTTGAAATATAATGCAGGGTCCTGTGGAGAACTTTGTGGTTGTGCAATAGTGGTATCGATGAGGATCCTGCAACTATATGAACTGTTCATTCAGAAATCCAACCTAACCTGAGATATAACCAATAATATGAAATAATGCTTGTATAAAATTTCCAATTAATTTAGTTTAATTAATTTAATTTAATTTCCAATTAATTAATTTGAAATTTCCAATAATTTTAAATAATGCATTGCCTTTAAATTTTTACGAAAACACTGAATGTTCTTAAGGGATGGAAAACAACAGAAGTTTATTTTATACTACGATTCCTTTAATTTTGATCCTATTTTATCAAAAAAGTTTCTTGCATTTTGTAAATGTGTCTATATTAGAATACTATTAAAAAAAGGTTAGTGTAAACGGCTCATTGCTTTGGAGAAGTTATTTTAATGTATAACAGATACAGCTGTTTAGTTGTATCTTGACATTTTCATTATCTGATGTACATGCATGATGTGGATGGCAAAACTTTTGAAGTCTTATTAAGGGTTAGAGCGTTTCGATTTGAAAATAACTTTAAGAAACTAGAAAAGCAAGGAAAATAATACTTTCACACAACTACATATATAAGAAAACAGTTTTACATTGAGATGAAGCATAAAAACAACAGATACATAACATTCCTTTTGGGCAGGAAAACTAGGGAAGACTTATATTTTTATGTAAAAACTCAAGATTTTTATTTTTTGTTTTCAAATCGAAAACTTTTTATTTGTGGGACAGAATATTATAAAAGTGTACTTGCAGTCCTGGTACTTGCAGTCTCAAAAATAATTATTTACGAATAATTAAATACAAGAATTATTTCCAAGACCACTGATAAAGGGTATTTGGCAATACTCGAAACAGCTGTATGGTCAGCCAAAAATTCAATTAATTAAAATAATTTAAAAAATAAATTTTTGTTGTTGTTTCACTTCTGTTCGAAAACCTCTTTATATAAAAGTGTATAAAATCGTAAAATTAAATAATTTGCTTAATTTTTAAGGCAAACAATAAAAAATCTAAGCTCTAAAAATTCGTACATTTATAAAAGTTATAAAATTAGCGTCACGGACATAATATTTCCGTTGAATTAAATTAGAAATAAGATAATTGTTTATCTTATTTCTAGAACGACCAGTCTATGTCCGAAAATCACTCGTTGAGCTTGGCGACCAAGTACTGTTCAGCACACCCAAAAAGGAATACACAGACATGTTCAGAAATCATTGTTGACATTTGTCAAAATTATGTTTTTTCCACTAAGAAGAAAGTCCTTATTTCTACTGCTCTATCTGTAACATTGCTATTTGCAAAAACCAAACGTTTCACCCAAAACGAATACGAGTAAGAATAAAACTCAAGTCCATCATTACTCAAATCGGTAGTCATATTTATATCAGATGACAAAACAGCCCATTTTTCAAAAATAGTAGTTTTTTGAATTCGATTATTTGAGAAGATAGTTACACGGATGATGTAATCAAAATAAATGTTCGGGTATATAGCGTCGAACAGTCATTCTCTATATGCACCATATAGTTTGGCCTGTTTTTTTTGGTAAAAGTTATTTTATGTAGATGGTCTGTAATTTTTCTACTCTCATGTTTTTTCATATCCCATACTTGCGCTGTATAATTTTGAAGTGATTATACTTCCGCTTCTTTAACTTCCTTCAACTTCTCAATTAAGTGGGTATTGAAATTTGAGTTATATTTCATATTTATTGCCAAGAATTTATATTTTTTTGTGACTTCTAACTGTCCATTATTTATAAACCATTTTTTGTCTATAATTAACTGGCATACTTCTTGAAAATTACAACTTTTGATTTGTCTCTGATTATGGCTAGACCCCAAAAATTGTAATATTCTTGTAATTTATCTTCATATAGAAAACTGCACAATATCGCAGCACGTAGTAAATGTTAAATGATTCATATTTTTGATTTTTAAATGATTTTTTTTTACGAATTTTTTTTTTAAAATGCGTTGATATACATTCTGTGTATCAAAGGTGACTGTTTCACCAAAAGGGTTAAATTTTTTGACCGGTTATCGATTACAGAATTAATACATTGGCAATTTCTCTAAGTAAAATTATACTTTCTTGAAAGTTTAAAATAAGAATCACACAAAGCTTTAGTTTTTACCTAAATCTGATTTTGTTTAATTCTGATTGCAAAAATAATTCCATTGCTATAGAAGGTGTGGAAAGCATCAAGTCAACATGTGTGAAAGAATTACGGGCGATAATATGTGAAGGATTCAAATTTAGAACATCAAAATATATAGAAAAAGTAGTTGTAACCTTCTGAGCACTAACTACCTTAACTATTTCTTTTTCATATATAAGGTGCATATATAGTTCCCTTTTACGGAGTTTAAAGTTTGGTGAAGCTTTTAACTTATTAGAACTTGGCTGTCCAAAACACGGCCCGCGAGCCACATGTGGTCCGCGGCTAATGTTTGTGCAGCCCATGATATGTTTTAAATCTACTACAATTACGCTAATTTTCTTTTGGTGTTATTATTTAATTTGTATACCAAATAAATGAATTTAAATTAATAAAACTATATTTAACATTATAACTGTATTTTTATTTTTGTCGAAAACAACTATGAACGTATGTATTTGTTTCTACAGCCCTCCAATCTGTACAGTGATTTGTATTGGCTCACGATCGCTTCTGGTCTTGACAGCCCTGTATTAGAATATTTACGAGTAGTTAATACTAGAGTAGTGCTTAACTAATCAACAAATTTATTTCTTAAAACGCGTATTTATAAAAAAAAGAAAATTTTAAAAATTGCTGAAATTATAGATTTGAGTTCATCTACAGTGCAATACATAATTCAGCTTTAAAACAAAGGTAGAGAAGAGAAGAAAACAAAGGCAGAGAAGCCCCAAATAAAATTCTAAGTGAACGAGTTGAAAAATAGATAAAAAGACATATTCAGAAAAAAAAATCATTTATTAAGTGCCACGATTATTGCCAAGGATGTTGAAATGTTTATTGGAAAGAAATGTTATCTAGAAACTATCCGAAGAGTTTTAAGAAATGCTAATTATAACGATCGAACTGCCCAGAACAAGCCATTCATAAGTGACAAAAATCGTAAAATTCGATTACAGTTCACCAAACAACTCAGTACCTGCAACTCATCACTTTTTGTCAATGAGAGCAAATTTAATTTTGGCGCTTCAGATGACAAATCATATATGTGGCGTAAGCCAAATACTAAACTCCAAAAAAAAAATTTACTTAGCATAGTTAAACACGGCGGCGATCATGTGATAGTAAGGGATGTAATCTAGGGGTTAGGGGTTAGTAATCTACAATTTATAGAATCAACAATGGATTGGATAAGGAACTGTACCTTAATATATTAAAACAAGATTTGCATAAAAGTGCACAGATTGATAATTTCCGTTTTTACCATGAGCGCAAGTCCGGTCTTGTGTAGTTTTGGCTTATATAAAATTGTCCTACATCATCCAAACAACTCTCCAATCACCTAACATAAATGTCATAGATAATTAATGGCATATCCTAGAAACTTAGATAAAAAAGATAACATTTCTAATAAAAAAAGTTTGAAAGCTACTATATAATTGGAATGGCACTGGTATGGAATATACCCAAAAATTAGTTACTTCGATGCATTCAAGGTTGGAAGCAGTAATTAAAAAAAGGGCTATCCCACTAAATATTCAAATTCAGTATTTAATGTTAAAAATTATTAATTTTCTAAAAAAAAATGTATTGCACGAAATAAGCTGTGAGGTTAGAATTTGATGTTTGTTTTTGTTCACTTAACTTCTTGAGTATTGATATTTTTGTTAAATTTTTTTTTTGTTTTATAATAAAAACTAAACATTCTTCAAAGTTGCATATTAATAATTTATTGTTTTAAATAAAATTTTGGGTTTACACGATTGAATTTTATGGATAAATAATATATTTATACGCAGTATGTAAAGATTAAAAATTACAATTAATTATTTCAATTAATTTATAGCTAGTTTATAACTCTAATATAGTATATAATTCGTTCTAATATAGCACAGCAAATAAAGTATGCCTTTGAGTCGGGTAATTAACACTGAATCTGAGCTTTACATTTGGTGGGACATAAGTTCAACCATTGATATTTGCAGTTTCAAAACATTTATTTACGAGTAATTAAATACAAGAAATATTTCAAAAAGACCACTGATGATGGGTATTTGGCAATATTCGAAACACCTTTATGATCAGCCAAAAATTCAATTAATTAATACATAATAAAATTTTATTGTTGTAATTCAATACAACATGGTTAACAAACATGGTTTATTTCGTCATAATTGACTTTTAAAATCATATTTAAATCAAGGGTAGTCCAATACACCAAGAATAAATAAAACAATAATTTTTTTTAAATAGGTATCAAATAAATATTTATAACCTTTCTTATAAAAAATTTATTCTATATTTTAATTTATACAAATTCACTAATTATTTTATTTAACAGCTTATGAAAATACCAAAATAACAGCACAAGAGTTAAGTCTTATTTAGCACAGTTGAAAATCGGTTAAATCTACTTTTCTCCGCATTATTAACAAAATTTAGTATTTCCACCACCTGAATCGTTTGGAGGTATAATTAATTAAATGAATGTTTTTAAAAAACAAACACACTCTTATCTCGCAAATCTTGGTATGGATTTTTAATGAGAAATACGACTAAATACTGTAATCGTATCGACATAAGAGAAAAAACGAGTGCAAGCTATTGTGTAAATATCCAAAAACAGAAATATATAATAAATATATAAATAAAAAAAAATATTAAAATACAAAGTACAATTATTGAATAATCTGAGTTTTATTAATATTTATGAATATATAGTCCCTATAAAACACAACAACGTTTTCACTACCATGCATATCAATTACATTTCTACTAACAACTATAGTTGTTACTATCTGTGTTAATTTACTTTATAATACGGACATCTCATATATTTGTATGAGGACTGTATTAAAGTTTGTCCCAAATCATATTTAAAATAATTTGGAAGTAATTTATATATTGTAAGAAAAAAATACAAAAAGAAAATCCAAGCAGCAAATATTGTGTCATCTACCCTTGGATATAAACAGTGGTAGCTTTGGCGTCGGCCTTGCTAAAAGTTTTACATATTTATTGAAAGCTTAAGTACACTTACCAGGAAAAAAAATGATTTTGAATTTTCTATTCAATATACCAATTTCTATTTTCTATAACAATTTTTTAACTCAATAAAAAGTTTGAAATTACCAATATTAGTGAGCAAATAATTCAATTAAGAAAACCATTCATTAACTTAGATCCAAGGACGTGGGTATTTCCAATAACGGATTTGTTGCGCCATGATTTAATTCATAATAGTCCCAAACAAAACGTAGAAAAATCTGATAATTATTATCCTAAAACACATTTTTCTAATTTCTATTTTACTCAAAAATTTAATAACAGCGAAACACAACGTCGCACGTGGTTTGTTTTTGCTTTGTATATCAAAATGAAGTCTATTGCTCTCCAAAAGGAACTTTTTTCGCACATTCAAATACAGATGGTAAAAGGAGGATGATATGACTGGAAAGATTAGACAGGACAGGGTTATAATAATAGTGCCAATATAGTCGGCATAAATATGGGCGTTGGAATAAAAATCCTGAATAGTAATCTAGAACATTTTTTACGCCTTGTGGATGCGACAGTTGGAATTTGTTTTGATTGATGGAGCTAATTATTCTACAATAGCTAAAATATTTTTAGGGTTTATCAATAAAGTCAATTCACTTTTTTCAAAGTCGAACAAGCATTGCGAACTATCCAAAACTAAATTAAAGTCGACCTTAAATCTCTCTCTAAAACAAGATAGAAGTGTAGAATCAAAGCAGCAAAATTTGCAATTTGATAATGTTATTGAATGCATAAATGACCTCAGAAGTAAATCTGACGATACTGAACCTCTAAACGATTGTTACGCATAGTCCTGAATGAAATGCTAACCTTCGAGATTATAGTTGCAATACACGTATTGTACAAACTTTTACTACGAGTAAACAATATAAATAAATTATGGTAATCACATGAAATAAACTTGAAGTTCGTTACTATATTTGAAAAACCGTTCAACGACCACAATTGTTTGTAGAGAAAAGTATTAACGAAATTGCACTTATATTTAAAGAAAAAATAATAGCAAAGAAAAAACGATTGTTCAGTTATGAACATATTGATGAACCCATACAATCCGTTGTTATATAATATTAAATAACCATTTTTACTACAATGATAGATGTTATCATAATTAAAACCGACTGCCGATTCAAAGTACTTAATGCATATTTTGAACAATTTGGATTCATATATGACATTAATCATATCATCATTAATCATATACCAAACAAAGACCTTCTCAAGCATTGAAATACTTAAGGTATAATACTTCAAGAAGATGAAAACAGCGATATTCAGGCTTTTGAACTCTATGACGAACAGCTGTTTTTAAAATCGAACTAGACTCAACGATATTAAGCAACTCATCCGAAAAGCAACCCAAGAAAATTAAAAAAAGTGTTGTTGAGATTATATACAAAATAATAAGTTCGAGTGTTCATATGTGGTATTGATGTTTTTCTTCAGTAATTGTACCTTCACGTCAAGATTTTGTTAACAGATTCAATTATTTTTGAAATGAGAAACAAAAATCTAATATGAAAAATGTGATACAAATCTAAGAATAATCATATCTAATTAATAGTATTTTGTAATCTCAACTGCAAGAAATGGTTATGACATACAATTTACAAAAATTACCATTTACGACAATCATAAGTATGCAGCACTATATGTGACCACAATAGTGATGGGATCCGTAAAGACTGAATATTTAAAATGATAATACAAATTGTTATTGTAATTTGTATAATAATTTTAAGATGAAACAAAAGATAATTCACAGTTAATATTACAATTTTTTTGTTAAACAAAAAGTTCAATATCTTAGTTAACATATATATTAACTAAATGCATTGGATTATTGAATTCTTATATCTAAAGTATTAATTGCTTAGGTAAGCGTTGAATGCTTAGCAACGGAAAAATTTGAATTTCTAAGAACGCTCAATGGATTTTAGTAAAAACAGCTATTTGAGCAACTTTTTCCACCACGCTATATGTCAACACATGTAAGTTTTCGATATCCAGATTTGAAGTTCAAAATTCCAGCACGAAAACCAATAACAATAATTATACCGCCAGACGGAAAAAGTTATTCAAAATAGATAAATTTACTATTACCTATCAAGACGACTATCGCGCCACAGCAAAATTTTAAAAAGTAAATATAAATTAGTTTTTCTTACCCACGAGCCATTTCCAAACTCTTAATAAGTTTTTTAATCTTCCATATTTCTACATTTCGGTCAGCAGACGTTTCTTCGCCAGACATATTTAAATAGTTTTCACCTAAACTAACAGACGAAGTCAAACGGTTATGAAAAACTGTTTAGATTGATTTTTATTAAGTTTAACTTCGAAGTTCCTTTTTTCTTTGAGTAGCGATGGACACTAAAAACACATGAAAAAAATAAGAGTTTAGATACATTAAATAAATTTTTAATATTAGTAACATACACTTAAATGCAGTAATACATAACAAAAAATAGGTAGTATTAGGAACGTTTAACGGTATAACGTTTAAATAAACCTCTACGCTGCATGCAGACTACGATTAGTTTAAATTATTTATTTTACAATCTACTAGTCAATAGAAGTTGAAATATAATACAACCATACGCAGAGTTTCAGACATTTATACACATATTTCTTTAAACTAGATTGTTCCAGTTCGGATTTAAAACACAATTTCTACAACATTGCAAAAAGCACATGCATATATTAAACTTACCTTTTTAAGCACAGTATCTTCAATAAACAAAATTGTACAGCACAAGTAAGTAGTGTGATTTAAATTAAATTTATAATTATAACTCTAACAATTTTAGAATGCATTTATAATTTTGAACCGTGGGTATATTAAATGCAAAATATTATTTAACCTGCAATGTATATATTTAAAATTATTCATCGCCTTAACATTGCCACAATTGCAGTTGTTTGTAACAATCTAATCACTCAGGTAATTTTATGGGAAGTAGGATTAAAAATTGCTGACATGTACTTAAAACGATGTGAGAAATGGAACATACGTATAACTAACGTTCATTATCGTTTTCAGACTGAAAACAAATTTTAATTTATTTGATGATTCTACACTTACATAGAAATTAAATAAATTTGCAAAAAAACTTTTAAAAAATAATATAAACCAGCCAGCTGATATAAATTTTATGATAGTACGTTTAAAGAAACTTACACCATGCGTTATACTCAATAAAGAAAAAGTAACTGAAACACAGCATGTGAAACATGCTATTTGCAACAATTTTAAGTGTTGTCAAAAGTAAAAATCAAGGAATACCTTACGAGAACAGCAACTCCATTGTGAATTAAAATTTGTTCTTTTGAACAACAACAATATGCCGCGGAGTTCTTGAAAGTTTAGTGAAAAATGCACTAACTGATATTAAAATTTTTGAACCATTTCAAATATTTCAGGTACTTTCAATCCATATTACTTGAGAGAAATATATAATTTCATTGCCCTAAATCATACAAAAATTACTACGCAAATATATTTAAACATATTTTTTCCATATTGAGATTATTATAAATGAATTGTATTTTACAGCAAACTAATTTTATATAAAAAATTTTATATAAAAAAATACAAAACAATATTTTACGGTCATTCATTAAACTGTTTGACAATATTATTTTCATAAATTCTCGTAAGGTTGTAAACACTTGTTAATTACCTAAAATTAGAATCCCTTTTCATTTCATAAAATTAACATTTAAATTTAATGTTTATAAACTCATTTATATTAGTATTAGTATTAAAATAAATGAAATCAATCTACCAACAAAGTATGCACATGCACCCACGCCCATGAATAAATTTTTCGCTAATTATTATTTAGAAAGGTTACTTACTTACGTACTTAGTTGGCTATTATAGACGTGGATTATAGGGATCATAGATCTTCTGAAGAATTTCTCTTTCAAATGTTCTCATCACTGTTGGTAGATTTTTAGAGCGTAACATACTTAACCCGAAGTAACATTTGTTGGCAAGAATGATTCGTTGTTGGAAAATGCCGCACTCATGGCGTGGATGTTCAAGCCAATTTTGTAGAATATTGTGACAGTGCGGTTTAAATCTGCTGCTCGAATTATTATTTCCAACATTAGGTTAAAGTAATCACACGACAAGAAGTCACCTTGTCTAAAACATTATTTAGTATCAAATGTCTCGGAAAGGTTCTTTCCGAATCTAATGGACCTGGTAGTGTTACTCAACGTCATTTTACATAGCCGTATAGGTTTTGCTGGGATATCAAATTCAGACATAGCGGCATAGAGAGTGCTTCAAATAGATGGTGTGTGTCGTTTTAATTTTCTTGAGTCTTCTCTGGAATGACGCACTGGGAATATCTGGTCTAGGGTGAATTTGACAGTTCTGAAGCCACGCTGATAAGGTTCAATCAGTTGGTTGACGATTGGCTTCAATCTTCCACATAGTACTTTTGACAGAACGTTATATGCGATATTTAAAAGACTGATCCTACGATAGTTGCCACAGTTTGTAGGATTACCTTCATTGCGGTGAACTTAAATTCCAATCGTTTGACATGCATTCAACCCGACTGTTATTGCTATTTTATTTTTATTATGATCGGGAGGAGAACGATTATTTCATCGTCAATGATTGAAAATTCGGAATCATTTTCGCTTTCAGTCACATTACTACTACCACCATTTAGCAGTTTCAAGAAGATATCGCGTCACGATACTCTTGGTCGTAACAGTTGTTTCTTTGTCTACGGTGATAGCCAAACAACTCTTCTGGAGTGATACGCATAGAGTTGGAGTTGTGGTTCCATTGCGCGCATATATCGGTTTCTGTAGACATCTTGGCTGGAACAAGATAATGATCTGAATCGATGTTGGCTCTTCAGATAGTTCGAACATCCAAGACACTGGAAGCCTGGCTTCTGTCTATCACATCGTTATCAATTTGAGATCTCATGTATATTTGACATACTGGAATCTGGTACTACGGAAAAACATGTTTCTAGCCGTCTAGCCATTATCAGAAGTTTTTATATGATGGCTGAACTTTCCGACAGTAGCACCAAAGATACCTTCTTTCTTACATTTGCGTCTCCTACAACGATTTTGATATCATTATGGGAACAGTGTTCAATACGGATTTTGGCAACCATTTTGTTTATTGGTGTAAATGTTCAAAGTTCTCGTTTAGAGCATCCTTGTCCCGTATATTGCACGCAGCTTTGTATTCACACATTAGTGTTGTGCGATTGACTTGTAAAAATGTGCACAATCACATGTGGGAGAATATTTTATGCTCGTACCCACGGTTGCCACTTGAAAATTTTTTTTTGTACCAAAATTGGTTTAAAAAGGTACCATTTCTGTAAAAAAAGGTCCAAAATTTTTTTGGACCTTTTTGTTTTTTCGTTCAGTGTTTTTCATAGTGTTATAAATGAACAAAATATAAAATAGTGCAAAGTTGCATTTATAAAAAAAATTAATTGGAAATATCCACTAAAAAGTTGGGTCGTCAAAAATGTACCATTTTTTGAATATGAGTACCAAACGCAAAAAAAAAGTACCAATTTTAGTACTAAAGTACCATAAGTGGCAACCGTGCTCGTACCGCACTGTACGACAAAAAATTCTCTTTGCACACCCCATTATTTAAAATAATTAGTATTTATAAATTAAACTGAAAATTATAAATATCTTGTGAACAATTTTCTATATTAAACTACTTTTGTTTGATTTAATTTTAAAAAGCTTCTTAATTTTTTAAATTAAAAGATTATTTTATCTGAAAATTTCTTTAACGTTAAATATTAAGATAAATATTTTTGTTTTTTATTGAAAACGTATTTCTATATTTTCTTCATTTTTTTGTGCTTTTTTAATTATATATATGAATTTCTGATTTCTTACGTTTCGCAGAACTGATCTATTTTGCTTATAACATTTCAAAACAACCACCCTTAACTTTTATTCCCATGCTTTAAATTAAAAACCTGGCAATAAATACCAGGAACCGTAACAGTTATCATAAAAAAAAAATAAAAAAAATTCAAAAAATAATATTTAAATTTGCTTTAAATTATTTTCCTCAAAAATAATTATTTCATGTGTCTTTTATTTCTTCGCGAAGAAATAACTCTTAAAGTTCTGTTTATTTTAAAACGCACAAATAACTGTTATTTTTGCGTTATAAATATACAAATCATGAATAACTCGCACTGGTCTGCCGAATATTTTCAAAACAAAGCATTTTTCATGTAAAGTAGTTGTTTTTGTAATTTCATACAAAATGTATTTAAGGGTTAGTGCTGGTAAAGAGTTACATTTTGTAGTAGAATTAAAGAATAAATATAAATGGCTGGCAACCCTATTGATGACTAACGAATATAAAGAATAACAAATAAAGAATCAAGCAGTGTGTAATAAGAAACTAAATGAAGCGGTTGTGTTTTATTACTACAATATCAGGTGTGGGGTAAAATTCACGTGGAGATAAATAAATTATTCTAGCGACAATACCGTGCGTACAAATAAGAATTAAGTTCGCGTTAAATTGCGCAAATCTACAATACATATATTAATCAGTTTAAAAAAAAAAAATAATAATAAAATAATGGCTGATGGCTCAAGAGCTGCAATAATCGAGACATTGCGAAATATGAATATTTCATTTCCAGACACGGCAACATTAAGTCAACTAAAAAAATTAGTTGCTGGTGTTATTGAGGAAGTGGACGAGCGGTCCGATTCAACAATATTAGCAAATGCAACTTCAGAAATAGTAATAGCAAATGCGACTTCAGATGACAAAAGTGACGCCACCAATACATACAATAATAATGCCGCTATTGTGACATATGCAAAACTCGATAAAAGTGATGCCAATGAAAATCAGTGCAGTGAAACCACAGCTAAAATTAAACATGCTGTAAACACCGGCAATGTAGACACTTCAGTTGACACAGATGAACTTAAGTTACGTGTTAAACTGCTGGAAAATCAAATAAGAATCATGGAGATGCAAAATCACATATCAATTAACTCTACCCAATATAAAGAAATTGAGCAAGTGTCAAAGAAATTCAGTGGCGATGATGACATGGACGTCATAACTTGGATTGTTGATTTTGAAAATGTATCCGCAGTGTACGGTTGGACGGAGAAAGTTTAATTGGCTTTCGCTCGTCGAATGCTTACTGGCACTGCTGAATTGCTGTTGGGTTTTACGGAAATCAATTCTTGGGAACAACTTAAAGAATTACTTCAAAAAGAATTTACAAAAACCTTAAGTTTTAGAGATGTCTTTAAAAAGTTGGAAACACGCGCCTGGGATAAAGGAAATGAATCGCTACTGCGGTATGTGATAACGATGCAGAACATTGCGAGCAAAGCACCTGTGTCGGAGGAAGAACTAATTGAATACATCATAAATGGCCTTAAAGACAGATCAACAAATGTAGTTATGCTTTATGGAGCTACATCAATAGTAGAGCTTAAAAAACTGCTACTAAAATATGAAAAAATTACGGAAGTTACTAATGCAAAAAACATGATAAGTCGACCGTTTCAGAAATCACAGGCTAAACGAGATTTTCCTGTGGTTAACAATAATGCTACTAATGAAAATCATTCAAACGTGCAAAACAAGCCTGTACGCTGTTTCAATTGTTCGGGATATGGCCACTATGCTGTTGACTGTAAAAAGGAAAAACGTGGAAGAGGGTCCTGTTTCACCTGCGGCAAATTCGATCACGTGCACAGTGACTGTCCGAAAAAATCTGTAAACTTTGCTGCTAATAATGATGACGATTATGAAAAAGTAGAATTTGAAGAAAAGGTAAGTGTTGCTTTTAATACCGATTGGGAACCTGAACTTAAATTTGACTGTTTTCTATGTCTGCTGGATACGGGTAGCCCTATTAATTTTGTAAAGCGGTCGGCAATATTATCTGCTAATCCTAAGATCCAATTACATGATAATAAAATGTCGCAGTATGTAACTCTGGGACGTAAAAATATAATGTATTACGGAACTGCAAATGCAAAAGTTCAATA